TGTGTTAATTCTTCTCTCTCTCCATGTGTTCTACTCAGAGTGAACACAAGAAGATCCTGGCTTCTCTGTCTGGGCCACACTTAACACATCTGCTCACACCGTGACAGCTCCCTGGTATGGAAACCAAGTCTTCTCTAGATTCCATTCTTTGAAGCTACTCACTAACTTTGTACTGTTGTGCATTATGAAACAGGGTCTTCCTTCTGGAAAAATGAGGACTTGATTGCTTTTCTCTGATCACCAATGTGAATACACAGACAAATTCACACACACTCTTCCCACCCTGTCTTTCCACTCTTTCTTAAAGACCAATATTTAGTGTAGACTTTATTGTATCTGTTTAATGCCGTTCACATTTGAGCCAAATAACAGATTTGTTTAAATTTGAATGTCTGAAGTACAAAAGACATGAAGGACCTTCTCTCTGTGAGCCGTAGTGGTGAGGGTGAAAGAGTTCTGTTCATTAGACACTTGTCATGACACAGAGTAGAAAAAGCCCAAACTCCTTCAATCCCTTTACTTTTTCTCCTGGTTACCTTGCATCGATGCCTTCCTGTGTTGGTCATATTAAAAATCACACTTCTCAACAGGGCCAAACTATTTTTTCCAACCCAGGGTCATTTCTAGGGGACAAACCAGAAAGAGTTGGTGTCAAGGTAAAATGCAGGGTTTCTTGCTGAAAAGTCATTAAAAATTAGCATGGCAACAGGAGAGCATTAAACCTAACACAAGCCCTTTTACACTAATTTTGAGCCCATGAAGCCTGCCCTTTTTTGCAGGGCAAATGGAGTTATTTATCCTCCAAGGCAATTCCACACCAACTGCAAGTCATAAAAACCCTACAGATTTATTACTGGTGTCATCTTTAACAGTTTCAACTTTTGGCCTTCTCGCTAAAAATGAACAAAATGTAGTTTTAAAAATGCTCCAAAGGGTGGAAGTGGATTCCTGCTGATGTTGATGCTCTAAGACAATGGCATCAGTGAGGACAGTGACAGGATCAGCTCTAGTGATCAGCAGGTTAAGTAAAGCAGGAAATCCACATCTATGACCACTCAGGGATCAGCTGCATCTATGAAGCTTTTATGTCTCCAATACTCTTGCCACGCTGGACATACCCCCCAGAGTAAATGACAAGTTCCTGCATTTGTACCTTCATCTAATCCATGTTAGAAGAATAAAAGCTGCTTTGTGTAGCCTCTTATGGAAACTAATTAGAGAACTACATACAGACTCCTAGCCTTTGGGGTGAAGCCATGCCTTCTGCATCAGTAATATAGGAGCCCCTGAACAGAGTCTAATCCTCAGGAGAGACAGAGGGTCTGAATGTGAGCCTTGAAGTGATAAGGTAGCAAGACCTCCTCATCATGAACTGGGTTCTGTCACACCCACCAACATAAGGACGGGTGGGGAGAGCAGCATCCATCACAGATGGAAGTGGAACATCCTGGAGGAGACAAGGACAAGTGGCCCAGACCATTGGAACCACCGGTCCAGCACTGCGACCTGCCACATAGTTTCCACCATGGAATCAGAAAGTCCACTATTGCTAGTCAACAAAGATGGGAAAGGTTCCATTCACTCCAAGTTTTCCAGCCCTCAAATCCCCATTCACGCCTCATACCATCAGACACTATTTTATTCTCCCCAGGCTGCCTTACTCACTGACACACAGATCCCCTAGGGCATGGCTAACTTGTTGGCTCGCTGAGATGCATTTTAGGTTATGGGGTAAGATTTAGCTTTTGACAGGTCTCCTAGGTCATATGGAAACTGTGCCCTTCAGACCACACTCTGAAAGCCTGCTGCACATGTTGCTATTGCATCAGAGCGAATGACTAGAAAACGGTGGCCTTCAATTTAGTGTCACCCCCAAGCCTGCCCTGCATTCCTCATTTTCTAAGGCTCCATGCCAACCCCTTTGCTAGTCTGACTACCCCTCACTCAAACACCCTCCCTGTCTGAATCTCATACTTCTCAGCCTATTTTCTGTATTTGTGGTGTCCACAGTCTTGCAAATCCTCATCACTCTTTAGACTCCTTGCTCCCTATAGGATGTTCATCTTGTTTCTTACCCCATGTCCTCTGTTTGTAACTTCTGCTGCCTGGTATCTGCTTTTTGCTCTTTTCCCCAGTCTTGGAACTCTAATCTGAGTTTTCAAGACCTCATCCTTTTTGCCAACCCTGTGTCTCTCCCCACATGCCCACCTGAATCTGGGAGAATAGCTCCCCTTTCTTAACTGCACCAGCTCCAGTGGTTCCTCCCTTATCACTTAGGTTGGCCCCTTACTCGTATGCCTCAGCCCCATCCTGAGCTTCCTTAGAAAATCTATCCTGTGTGGCCTTGTTGGGTGCCTTTGATTCAAACAGTGCCTAATACCCCCAAACTCACAAGCTTTGTCATTTTTCACCCTGACTCTGAACAGACCCTATCCCTCTTTGCTCCCCCTGTATGCACACCTCAACACACCATGGTACCTCAGAAGCCACAAGGAGTAGGAAAAAAACAGAACAGAAGAGCTATTTCACTCCCATGTTTCAAGTTCTGATTGTGGACTTTCTAAAGATAGGCATGCGATTTGTGAATCCAATAGAGAAATAAAAAAATGAGGACACTGATATTTGACCAGAGCTCCTGGTCACAGATGGCAGAAAACAGGGTCCTCCAGTGAGGCCTGTGGGGGTGCTGATGTAACAGGGACCTGCTTATTTACTAGAGTTTCTGAGTTTCATGACAGAATATTTTCAAACCTCTGTAATCTTTTCCTTGAAGGTAAGTGAACATGTATGTACAATGAGAATGCTGTTGATGGGTAGGCCACTGCAGAGGTGCAGAGGTTCACACCTGCCCTTTCTGTGTGCCCTTTCTGCCCTTTCTATATTCTAAGACAAAGGCCACTTTGAAGCAACTTGGTCCCTGGAGAAATCTGGGCAGTCAGACCCTCTTTTACTGTGGATGCTGATCCACAATGGAGGCAGGACAACTGGAAAAATTTGCTTGGAAAATTTCACTCAGATTTTAAATTTTTTAAAAGTTTGAAAATATGGTAAGGATGGACACTGTGAGCAAGACGACACGATCTGCTAATTATATGTAGGTGATGTCAGAGTGAAGTGTGCATCACGCAGATTTAAAGAAGCGAGAAAGACTTTATTAAAGGCTGTGCAATAGTGTAGTGAGTCGGAACTCAGTGCCCCTGAAAGAAAAGCCTGTGGAGGTTTTAAGAACAGGAGAAGGAATCATAGGCATCTCTGTTTGGTAGTTGGCGGTACAGAAAAAGAAAGTACAAGTTTGCATAAATTCTTCACAGGATGTCTTTTTACATCATGGTTGTGAATGTTCTCACCCAAGTTAGGTGTCTACCTGCCACAGGGACTGAGACACAGAAACACCAAGAGCACTGAATTTTACCAGGTGGGCCCAGGCCCTTGTAGCAGATACTCCCAGAATCATAACACTGACAAAATATTTTAAGGAGGCTTCTGTGTATTTCTAAAGGGCAAAAAAAGAATCTACAGTTACAGCCCTGGCTGGCGTAGCTCAGTGGATTGAGCGTGGGCCTGCGAACTAGAGTATCGAGGTTCAGTTCCCAGTCAGGGCACATGCCCGGGTTGCTAGGCCAGTTCCCAGCAGGGGACTCACGAGAGGCAACCACACATTAATGTTTCTCTCCCACTCTTTCTCCTTCCCTTCCCCTCTCTCGAAAAATAAATAAATAAAATATTAAAAAAAAAGAATCTACAGTTACAAACTGCAATTACATTTCTGAAGAAAATGCTCTGATAAAATGGAGGTCAGAGGCCTGTAGGCTGGAAGAACCTGTGTAAAGGTCAGTGACTCTAAGGAACAGGAAGGCCCTGGGTCATAACAAAACTGCTTTCTGCACAGTGGAGGGAAAGACAACTACATCTCTTTCAGCCAAGACCCAGTTTTCATCTCCATCAGTTTTTGCAGTTTATAAAAAGATGCAAATTCCCAGCTCTCTGTAAACAGGTGCAAAATAGCTGAGGGTTCTTGAGCAGAGTCAGGATCTAATCTCCCACGAGGCTGCACTTCTGGAGCTTTTCATGGGGACATTATATTTTTCTACACAGACACCTTCCCTTTGATTAAACATTATCTTTAAGAAAGAAGTGTATTCTTGATCCTACCACATGGCTGGAGTCACCTGATTTGGCCTGATTACTCATCTAAGTGCAGAGAAACTGATATTCACCACCTCCTTTGCTCTGAGGCAGGATTTTTAAATAAAAACGTAAGATGGGAGTTTTAACAGCCTCTTGAGGTTAGGAAGCTTCATGTTCACACTTCACCTGCAGTCTCTCTAGCTTTGGGTGACGTCCTTTTCTTCAAGAAATACAAAAGATCCATCAAGTCTAACTTAGCTCTATAAAGTGTGAGGTCATTTCTAATTATGTGGACATCAGTTTGAAGTAGAATTTTTGAGCGAAAGTCTTAGTTTTATCATAAAGTTTCTAAATGTATCCTATTGGCAAAAAGAACAGAGATGTACTGAACTGAATTTATGCAAATAATGGTATTGCCCTATAAATAAGAAAACTCAAGAGGCTTTAGAAATTTTTCAAAAGACATTAAAAAGAAAGAAAAGATCAGTGTTGCTACACACCATGTCTTTTTGTCCATCCTCATTGTCTACAACAGTGTCCCAGTACCTCCACATGTTTACCTGAAGAAGGAACAGAGCTCAGATCCTGTGAGCTCATCACTCGCTCCCATTGGTTATCACAGGGCCACTGCTGATCCTCCAAAGAACACAATGTCACCTCCAATGTGGAGATGGTACAAATGAGACCAAACTGAGGTGGGGTGTGGTCTAAAACATGACCTTAGGTCAGCAATAATGACCATGTCATCTCACATAGCTATGTATTTATTGACTCAGTGCCAATCCTTTAAGATATATTCACCTTCAGAACAAATCTATTATAACAATGCAAAACACTTTATTTAGAATTTAATAACAAAGAAGAGGGGAGGGTCAATCATGTTGCAGATGCAGCTCAAGGGGCCAACTTTCAGCAGAACTGATGGGGTTGGAGACTTTACACTGGTAATAACCAACATCCTCCCTCTGTATGGGGTCTATGGTGAGGCTTCTGTGGTCCTCTGACAGCTTCCTTCTCTCCGAGAGGCGCAGATTCATGCTGTTGAAGAACCACTCAATGGAATCTGCATTTGTGTAGCAGGTCAAGACCACGGCATTCTCATTTTCTGTGATTGTGCCGTTTCTGGGTAGGAGAATGGGCACTTTCACAGGCCCTGTGGAAAAACAGAGAATATGACTGATTGAGAGTGGGCTTGGGACATGGAGCCACACGGCTTTCTCAGAGATCTCAGCCACTCACAGCCCACAGAGAGCTATGCAAAGTTCACTCCTGTGGGCCATTTCTGTTAGGTAGCTATGAGATAGAAATTTGGAAAAACCTTGATTCTTCCTCATGTGAAAATTATTATTATTAATCCCCCAAGGCTTAAGACCAATGACAAGAAAGACAATTTCATTGGAGAGCAGGAAAGGTCTGAGACAAAGGTCTTAGTCCTTGTAGAGACAGAGAGTTTGTGGCCTGGGGCCAGAAATCTGGGTACTCTGCATCCAGGTTCCAAGCTCTGAGAGATTTTGGATTATTCATTCATTCATTCATTAAATCACCATTTATTTCTTCCTAATTAATCAAAGGCAACTTAGCATTTGTTACATGTTGGTCCTTAAGCTGGTTTCAGGGGTAGAGTGTGGATTGAGAAGGCAAAATTTTTTGCCTTCATACTCCAGTGGGAGTGACAGTAACACATCAGGAAACAAGCAAATGATCTGAACCAACAGTTGGTTTAAAAATCCACAGGCACCTCATAGGCCCCTGGGTTGGAGGGGGAGACAAGACTGTGGCTCCGTACAGATCTTGAATAGCCTTGATCAAATGCTCATGATCTGTGTGACTCTGCTTTAGTGACTGTATGTCCCTGTTTCTCAGTTTATTCTCCATGAAGGAGGATGAATATTTGGCTGCCAAGTTCTCTGTGTATTAATCATAAAATATTTACAGTCTCTGGCCTAAGTCTTGGCATAGAAAAGCTGCTGAGATGAGAAGCATCTCCTACTGATTGACTGTAACAGAGAATCCTCTGGGCAAATGAAGACCTTCCAGGAACATCCTCTTTTCTCAGTTTCTTTCTGGGGATGCTAACCTTTTCCTGTACCTGAACTTGTCCTAAGACCTTCAGGACAGTTGGCTAACATCTAACAACACTGTCTAACTGTGCTCTTACACAGAGTCTCAGGCAATAGACTGAACTTCATTTCTGCCAAGGCGTGGCTCTTGGGCCTGAGCCCCGGCTGGTGACCAGCTCAGAAGCCTGTGTCTTGGGTACCCATTAAACCACTACCCAGTTAGCCTTTCCTGGGAGGTCAAACTCAACCTGACACAGGCTCCCCAAGGTTTCTGGAGTCAAGATCCCCCAGACAGGGTTCTTGGGAGGGGCCCCCAAGGTGAACTCTGTGGGAATTTTAGGGCGCTTCTGAAACCAGGCTTTGACAGAAGCTGTCAGGGTCATTTTCATTGTCAAGGACATAGTGGGTGGCACTGAGGCTGGTCTCCATCTGTTTAGTTACTTTTTGTCAGACTGATCCTTCTGTCTGCAGTGACTGTCTGCAGGACTGGAAACTGGGAAGGGAACTGAGGTCTTAGGAAGTTTGTCCCTGCTCTCTGTATCCTGCACTAATTGCCGAAACCCAAACTGGGACAGAATGCAGAGGGAAACAAAGGCAGAGTTTGGGGCTGTCTGTCCTGTGTGTGAAGTAGAAGTCACCCCACAAAATACTCAGATGTCAGAGAGTAATCACTCACCGAATACATCAAGCCGTCCGAATCCTGCTTGTTGTACTGAATTTGGAAGGTGGGCCACTACGGTGTATATTCCTCTGTCTTTCCTGGTGACATTCCTTATCAGCAAGGATCCATCGAGGTCTACTGTCTTTCGTCCATCGTATAAATGCCCTTTTACAAATTTTCTCTCCAATATGAAGTAACTTGCGATTAGATTATGAGGTACTACCCTTTCTCCTCTGAACCATCTGTAGCCTATAACATTGGGAGGGGTATTGCGGAGACTCAGACGCACATTCTTCCCTTCAGCAACGTTGGTTGATGCAATAGAGAATTGGGCATTTGTGGGCAGGCAGCAGAAAGTTAACAGCGAGACTAGGAAAGAAGAGAGAAATTGAGTAATATTCAGATCTATGTGTTGGAAGGGGAAGAAAAGTCCCTAGAGCCTGAGCAGGTCTCTTCAACTCTCAGCCTTGATCTGAGTGTGAGTGTGTCTCCCATGGTCAAGGGTGACAGTAAAGAAAATGGCTAGCACCCCTGGTTCAGTTGTTTTCTGGTGTTACCTGACATAAATTGTTATTGTAATGTTTTCATAATTCAATACTCAATGATGAATAACTTCGGTAATGCACAGCAATTGAGGTTTTCCTGCCTCTCACCACTTCCAGATTATGAGATTTTCCTCTTGCTGTTCCCCCTTCCCCATTCTACTCTGCTCATTTTTAGTTTACCCTCAGGTCAAAACAGAAGCCTTCCCTCTTTTCTCAGAGCCCTGGTCTCTTCAGCAGATCCCAGGCAGCCTCTCTGTCAGATCCTCAGTCTACCCCAAGGAATTGTCTCCTACTTACCAACCACCAGGAGCCCTTGCCAGTGGACAAGTCCTCTGTGGGTAGAGACTGACAGGAATCCCATGGTGTATGTTGTCTGTTCTGTGGCTGCCTCTTTGAGAAGATCTTGAGGTTCGGTGAGGCTCACAGGCACCTCTGTCCAGAATGGCACAATGTGTTCTGTTTCCTACCTTTGTGCTGAGCTTTATTCTGTGGCAAGATTACTATTCATGTGCTGGGGGCAGGGTCTGTGCCCAGGTCCCTCCCACTCTTTGATCTCATTTATGCCACCCTGTCTCTTCTTACCAGTTTAGTGTCCTTTGATATTTTGGTTCCTGGGAACTGCTGAAGCCTCTGAACTCTACATTCACATGCACACACACACACACACACACACACACACATTTACACTAGCCCACACTCACAAGATGTGTTGAAGAAGCACAAACCTGGGATGTCTGGGTGTTGGGGTTTTCTCACAGCTTCCTCTCAGGAGCTCGGAACTCTATCCCACAGCCTCTCTCTCTTTCACATTCTACTGCCCCTTTCAGGGAAGATATTCCTGAGCTAGCTCAGAGATACCTGTCACAGGGATGTCACACCTGCTGTGCATTCAATTACCTGTGAGACATTGTAAACATTGCTATGCCAGATGACACTTTAAAAATGCAGCTTCAGCAGCTGTTCATTCAAAATGAGATCCCTTGATGTGAAGGTGGGACCACCTCTCCTGCTCTCCTGTGCACAGGGGAAGTTCCCAGATCCTGCTATACTGCAGATTCTGACTTGGCAGGGGGATTTGGGCCTGTATCTAACAGGCTCCCAGGAGAGATTGATCCTACTGGCCTGTGGAGCACACTTGCAATAGCAAGGCTGATGAGGACACATGTGTCCCTTGAAAGGATGTCTCACTCTCCCCAGCATTGGTTTCTGCAGTGACTTGGTCCTGGGTCTGTCAGAACCACACAGAGAGCCCCAGGTGTCCTAGAAAGTTGAGGTTATTTCTGTCTGTGACACAGAAACACAGCTGGGAATCCAGGCTGCTTTGTGTTCTCAGATTCTCTGGGGTTTTATTTCCTCCTAGCAGGAAGTTCCCAGAGATAACTCTGGAGGTAGAAGGGGTAAAGCTGGGTGACAATTGCATAGAGACCCTTCTTCTCTCTCAGGTGTCACCAGCCTGGCTTCTGCTTCCGGGGACAGAGACTCAGGACCAATAGTTCGGTAGAACCTTCAGTTTTGGGGTGTGTAGGGGGAAGTGTCCTGTGTGTCCCAGAAAGAAAGAAATGTGATGAAAAGTCAGGTGCCTGTGGGCTGCCTTGTCATGGAGAGACAGGTTCAAGTAGACCTTTCCCCTCCACATCTGCTGGTGGAGCCTGTCCCTGTGCTCTCTGAGTGTTGGGACAACCACTGGTTTCTGGCTGGGAGGCTTTCCTGTGGTCACCAGACTTGCCCATGGGTGATGCCAGCACAGAATCCCCTGTGTGAGGACGTGCTCCTAGGTTCTGTCAAAGTGAGAAATATTTAAACCTGTGGAGCACTTCGATACATTTATCTGAGCCATTGGCCTGGGAGAAAGATCTCAAATGCTGCAAAAAAAAATAGCAGTTAATTTTATACATTATAATCAAAGGAGAAGATGAAAATAGTTGCAAGAAATCCATTAGAAGCTGAGGAAAAGCATAAAGGGGAAATCTCTAGATTTACATAAAAGGCAAAATGGAGAAACATATGCTCTTTAAAGATTCATGAGTACAGAATAATTAACATTTCCTGGACATAAAGAGAGTATGCAGAGGACCAGGTAACATGACGTGTTTTGGGATCTTGTATTCTTGTCCTAGAGTCTGTGTCTTCAAATGGCCTAAAAAGAAAATCACTCTAATATGCCAAAGTCATACTATTTAAGATGCATAAAAACAGGGGTCAGGGCTCACCTACATGAAAGATTGACCTTTGCTAAGCAAGGAATAGGCCTGGGATGTGACAACTGCCATCACCTACCCAGCTAGATTTCTGATCAGACTGTCCTGTGGAGCTTGACAGGCTTGCTATGTGGCCCCCTGAGCTTGTCAGGGTTGCATCCCAGCCCCCTTCTGTTAACAGTCTCCAGAAGTAGCAGGTGGGGCAGAACAGGAAGGAGGGAAGGCCTGAGAAAGGTTGTTGAAACAGGGGATGAAAATCAGACTTCCATCTTCTTAGCCAAAGCCAGTTCATGTGTGAATTTCCATGTGTTTTTTGTGTGGCCCAGTGTTTTGCCCTGCAGGTCAGGAGCAGACCTGCAACCAATGTCAGGTGCTGCACAGGGATGGTACCAGTGCAGGGTGAGCCCCGTGAGAGGACAGAGTACTATGAGTCCAGTGCCAGGAGGTCTGTCCCACCAGGGGGTTGTGCTCTTTCAGACAGAGCTCTCTTCCTTCAAGGGTTCTAGGAAAAGGCTTAGTTAAGCAGATGACAACTTTTGGGGGAGGTTACTTGCTTGGAGAGTTGATCCTCAAAATGTGCTGTATGTCCAACAGCACCGCCTTGGGGCTTTGAATGTAAGTCGTCTCTGTCCCTGTCATCTGCTCTAGGCATCCTCCCAGGGCCCAGGAGCTAGAGCAGCTCCAGGTGA